ATTGTCCAGGAGACAATAGACAGTTAGCGAGGGCCAGGCAGGAGAAGACACTCGCGTCTCCAAAATCTGCGGAAGTGGTTCGGGCTCACATTGATCGAACTATTCAGAAGCGCCGTAAACAAGCTCAGAATTGCCATGTTAATAGCCAACGTTCGCAATGGACAGGGCACTTGAAGAAAAAGAAGGGGTATAAATATAAGATGTATTGATTACCTAAAAGTCTTATATTCTTCTGTATTCCACTCCACTCCAAATAAAATCAATAAAGGTGTCTAATGATTTCAGTATATTCTATAAGTTAAGTAATTTAATCAATTAACTGACGAAATGTGCAAGAAAAAACTCCTGTAGAGCAAAAATGTTAACAGAATAGGTAAATACTGAATAACTAAACAAATAATAAACTGAATGCCCACAGGAAGCAGGAAAAGAGGACACTCAAGAGAAACCTGAAATAAGTCATAGCCAAACTATGAGTAAAATACATATGAGGCAGTACAACGATAGACATCTGTCCAATTCTCTTGAAAAGATAGAAGTAATGAACATAAGTAGATTTCTCATCTATTCATTTATTAATAATTACTTTATCTTATATATAAATATACTTACATTGTTTAGAAATAGACCACAATAATCTGGAGCTCCAGGTGGCGCCATCAGATTGATATCCAGATTGACAGACTTTGATCCATCTCCGTATCGCATACATGGCGACGTTCGGTAGTCTCTCGCGTGAACCACACCGCTGAAGGTGTTGTTAAAATTTACTTTTATATTCATCATGTGGTTTCCTTTGCATGTTGCTGAGACTTGAGGGATGAATTCTGTTTCGATGAGTTGACTCCATGTCTAAAAAGAAACGTATCGAGATTAATAAATGTACATAAAAAGTATTTACTTATATGATTAAGTTGAATAGGTCTGGAAATTAAACTTTTTTTTTTCTACTTTTGAAGATAATTATCGGATGAAGTTAATTATCGGAACCGAATTTCAAATTATTCTGCACAGTATATTTGTAGCATTATTTGGTTAAAACATCTTATTTTTGGTGGTAAAAAAGTATCTTAATTTCTCTGGACTAAAGGTGGTATTTTTTTTTAATTTGCTGACGAACGAGATATAGATGGAGGCAACTTTATTAATAAACACCACCACGTGCGGTGATTACTTTTCCAATATCCTTAATATTGAAATGTATTTTTAATCAACTATTTAAATAAAGCATTTAAATAAACTCGTCGCTAGATTCAAAAGTGGTATTTTTCAAACGAGTTCTTATGTGGAAGCCGAAACTTCAATAATAAAAACTTGAGATAAAAAAACCCTATTACTAGAAATGTGTAGTATTTTAATACAGCATAAAATTGTTTTTATAATATCATTAACATTTACATTTGTAGCAAAACGTGTGGATTCACGTGTATTACTATTCGCATGGTATAATAATTGTTGTATATACTATACACCTTGTCTCAATATTAATTAAACGTGGATTGATGGTATATAAATACACTGGGGTGCAAAATTGGTGGAGGTGGTATAATTGTGTGGGCATGCATTTTCCTAGAGGCTTATAAAGAACTTGTTACAATTCAAGGGATCAATTTAAACGCTCATCGGCATATTTAGCAATGTTTGGAAGATCGTGCAGTGCCATTTGCTCTATTTGTTGGAGAAAATTTTCGTCTGATGCAAGAAAATGCTCGTATGGACATTGCAAGAATAACACAGGATTACTTGGATGAAGTTGAAATTCGTTTATTGCCATGGTCCCCAGGGAGTGCAGACTTAAATCCAATAAAGCATGTATCCGATATTCTGAAACGACGTTTTCGACTTAAACATGGTTAATTTTAACCGGAATGATTTGGAGCAAGTAGTTTGTGACGAATGGGAGCGAATGGCCTCAAACAGACTTTGCTGCCTTAATCCGATCAAATAAGAGCCGTAATTAGAGCTCTTGGAGGTAATACACTCTACTAAATACCGATTTTCACAACAAATGTTTATATTAAAAAAAAAATGTTTATTTCTTTGCAGATTTTCAAATTTTTTCAAACTTTTTTACACATACATTAGTTTTTAGGAAAAATCTGAGTGTCCGGTTAATTTTGCATCCCAGTTTAGATAGATAGATACGTAGATAAGTGTATTGGCAATTTTTACATAGTAAACACTACATGTCATGTCACAATATAAATAAGTCTCCTACGTATACATAGGAAATAACTAAGAAATAATACAGTGAAAAATTGAAATATAAAAATATAAAACAAAACAATTATTCAGTTAGGTGTAAAATAGTTTTCATTAAAACGATCACACTAGCAGCTGAAACAAACAAATTCCTGTATACTATAGAAACAGTGTTCCAGCAAGAAGTGTTTTGCTAATTTATAAAGTTGTTTAGAATTCACTGCCTTTATACCAATATTTTTGTTTAGGTTTAAAAAACAACTATACAGAATCTATTGTATTAAGTTGTGTAACACACAATCTGGAATATGGTATAATGATATGACTTTCTTGTATTGTACTGATATTGATCAGCATGTGATTTTACATCTTGTATATTATTATGAACAGTTAACAAATTTTCAATGTACATATATATATATATATATATAATATATATAAATATATATATATATATATATATATAATATATATATATAATATGGAAGGTAAAGAAGGAATTAACAAGGGTCTTAACTCTTTTTAAACAAGGGTCTGCAGTTGGCGCCATATTCTGCTGAGTCAATAATTCGCATTGCTGCTTTTTGAAAAAAGTGAAAATTTTATATGCATACGATAACTTTTTTGAAAGAATTATGCAATTTATTAAGATACTACGAGTCATTCCAAAATAAACTGACCTAAAAATGTAGCCAATATGCGCATGGCAAAATCTGTGAGATGAGTTTCTTACATAATCCTTCAATATGGTGCGACCAGTTCAATCTTGTATTTATAGTAACACCTAGTAATTATACTGGTTCAGATGGTTTAACATATCTATCGGTACTAAATATTATTGTCTGGGTTTTCTTTTCGTTTAACTTATGTTTGTTACGGTTAAACCAGGATTATATTTTTCTACTGTCCTGACTGTAATCAGTTTTAACTCTACATAATAAGGTTGTGTCATCTGTAAAAAGAACATAGTTAGTGTTTTCCAACGCACTTGGTAAATTATTTATATGTATCAAGAATAGCAGGGGTGCCAAAACTGATCTTAGTGGTACTCCGATTGAAACTGCTAGAGGATTAGATTCTTGATTATTTAATGCAACAATCTGTATTCTTCCTGTAAGATATGATTTTAAAAGGTCGTGTATGGTACCCCCTATTCCATAGTACTCCAATTTTATCAACAGTGTTTGCATATCCACACAATCAAAAGCTTTTGTAAGGTCACACATTAATCCACACCTGCATCAAGACTGTGAACATATGTTCTATTACTTCTAATAAAGCTTTAGTTGTTGAGTATTTTTTTCTAAAACCAACGTGAGAGCTAGATATAATTGATTTGTTATCCAAATAATTTGTTATACGTTGTGTGTGTGTGGTTGGAATATTGACTGCGAAACCTATGGTTTCATTCGCCTAATCATGTTTGACTTTGATTCTTAACAATGATTAAAATAAAAGCTATTAATATTTAAAATTTATATTATTAATATTTTTAAAACAATATCACTACGTTAAAAATTCTACATTATACAATTGGTAAACTTACAAACATCATATTTTTTATTTATTTATTTATTTATTTTTTTTTTTTTATTAATTTTATACAATTTTGTATACAATTTTCTAGTAGAAGGTATCCAGTTTCGTATCCATGCATCCAGTGCCCAGTGGTTGTTTATCCAGTATTATCCAATTCCGCAAGCAGTGTTTTTTTTTAATTTATTTTATTTTTTTTTTGTTTTATTATTTTTTTTTTTTTTATTTATTTTTTTTTTTAATATTTTCAATATTTTTTCTGTATTTTGTTTTATTAATATTGTCTAATATATATATATATATATACTATATATATATATATATATATATATATATATATATATATTTTTTTATTGTTGAAATGCTTTCTTTTTTATTTTGTTTTATATATATATATATATATATATATATATATTAATATATATATATTTTTTTTTTTTTTTTTTCTTTTTTCATTTATATACAAGTTTTGGTATACATTGGTCTTTATAAATTATTGTTTCATATTCTTATTTTTAAACTGCTTATGTATTGATACAGCAACTTATAAACTTCTAAATTGTTAGAAACTATTAACCCATAAAGGTTGATGGGTTTTACTAAAATTTTTATTTTCATAATGGTTTCCATAAAAACATTGGTCTTTATTCTATTTTTACTACAATTTAATATCATATGTTCTAGTGTGCCATATTCTCCACATTCGCAGTTTGGGGAATTTACAATTTTTAATTTAAATAATTGTTATACGTTCTTTAATTAAGATTTCAAACATTTTACTTATTATTGGTACCATGGTAATAATTGATGGATTCGACCGTTACTTGATGGAAATTCATTTTATGTAACAATAAAACACTGAAAACTTTGTTTTCAAACTTCCACAAAATTTATTTTAAACTCTTATCACCACAGCTGTTTCGGCTGGTTGCCTTTCTCAAGTGATCTATTTTTGGCATGCGTTTACAGTTTATAGTCTTTAATGAAATAGGTTGAGGAGGGGAGAACTGTTTGTCTCAAGTTGGTGATTCAGAATTATATCTGTGTTTTTTAATTTGTTGATTTCTATAGATTCTAACAAAGATAGCTTAGGGCCTTTATTTTGAATGTGAAGAATTTTAAATTCATCATTAAAAGAATGATTATGATCTAGAAGGTGAAGTGCGTATGTAGAATCTGTTTTTCTATTATTGAACACCCTTTTATGTTCTGCTCTTCGCTTAATAAAATTTCTACCTGTTTGGCCGATGTAAGTTTTTGGGCAGTCGCCACATTTAAGTTTGTATACACCTTTGTCTAAGTGTTTTTTTATTTTGGCTCTTGTTGTTTTTATTATATTTGCCTTAGTTGTTATTTGTTCTGAAAGCTGGTGTTTTATATTTTGCCTGTATATGTAATCGAGCAGAAGGTACTGGGTTTTTCTCTGGTGGTGGAAATACTAATTTCAGGAGTTTCTTGTGTAGTTTTTGATTTAACATTTTATTAATTATTTGTTCGTTGTATCCATTGTTTACTGCTATTTGCTTAATGATATTAAATTCTGTCTCAAAGTTGTATTTTCACATCAGAATTTCTGTTTATCTATGTAACATACTATGATAGGCTACCAGTTTATGTTGTGTGGGATGGGATGATAAATTATATATAGTCGTGTCAGTTTCGGTAGGTTTATGAAATATGGAGAAGTCATCTTTGTTTTTAAGTCTGATAATTTTGAAATCTAAAAAATTTATGGATTAATTTTGTTCTGTTTCTATTGTAAACTCAATATGACTATGAAGTGAATTAATATACGATAAAAATTGGTCAAGTTGTCTGTTGGTTCATGTGAAACATACCAGTACGTCGTCTACGTATCTTCACCAATATAAAAACTGTTTGAATAAGGGTTTGTTTTGAAATCTTTGTCTCTAGATTATCCATAAAAATATCTGATAGCAATTCTATCTTGATAGAAGCAATCTAATAAACATTATAAGAATATCCAACAATATTATAGATTTTCTGTCGCTTCCAGAATAGTATACCATCTTATTGCTTGTTTGGCATTTACTATTACCCGGGCGTCTGACCTTATTAATTCCGAAAATATCGATTTTCAGCCTGTACTAATT